ACAGATGCTGAATGATCCGAGGTGTCATGTGTGGAGATCACCTTTGATTGTGACATTTTGTTAAAGGTCAGTGTACAACAAAAAATATAAAAGGAAAAATAAGAGAGCAACATTGCCTTGAGAGGTGTGGCTCAGTGGGCTGTCATTCCACAGGGCACAGGGCACGGCCTGGGCTGAGGGCCAATTTCCCAGTCGGAGGCAGGTGAAGAGCCACAGATTGGTGCTTCTCTCACACATTGCTGTTTCCCTCCCTCTCTCCCTCCCTTTCTCTAAAATAAAATTTTAAAAAGAAACCAATGTCATTGTTTTTTCATTGCTGTATGGGTTTGGGGAGGATATATTAATTTCCTATTGCGGCTATAACAAATTATCACGAACTCGGTGGCATAAAAACACGCAGATTTATTATCGGAAAGTTCTGTATATCAGAAGTGTGAACTAGGTTTCATTGGACTGAAATTGTTACAGAAACACCCCCCTGCCCCTGGGGGTCTTTTGTTACTGTAAGTTCTTTATGCCCACCACCGTACTAGGAACTGTGGTTCTCAATGCCAGAATTTGGTAAAAAGGAAAGGAATTTTTAAATGAAAAGTTATACAGGTTTAGATTAATGGTGCCATTCTGCCAGTACATCTCACTCCCTTTAGAAACAAAGATGCAGCCACACAGCCCTACCCTCTCCTTTGCCTGGTCAGGCCAGCCTCAGAGCACGCCAGTCAGAAGTACCACCTCCCAGAAGGAAGTCTGCAGCTCACCTCCCCCAGTTCCTCTCAGTAAGCTGTGCTCGGCTGCGTAGGTCTCCTGTGGTCCCCAGCACTATCAGCTGTGCCACCCTGATCTCCAGGTATTAATCCAAAACCATGTGGCACCTCCTCATGACCCACCAGGCAAGAGTCCTTTCACTCCCTGTTCCCTGCTAGGGTCCCCCAAGGGTCCTGTGTAGTCCCACATTGTCCCCATCCCCATGGTGGCCCACCTGCTTGTTCAAATCCCAGCCTGGAACCCCCTCCGTAACCCCATTTCTGACTCCTCCCACACTGGGTTACACCTACGGTGGTCTGGTCTCCCCTGCCATTGTTAGTCACAGCAGCCACCTCCGAGCTGCTCTCACAAGCCATAGAAGCCCTTCTGGCTACATTGCATCAAGGGTTAGAGTCACGCCCATCTCTCTGGCTCCAAGCAGGCACATGATTTAATATTAATAAAATGCCAGCTAAGTTTTCCAGACGCATTCTATCACAAAATCAGCACTGACACAGCCACACGTTCTCCAGAGACTCTTGGGCAGGGGTGTCCAACCTTTTGGTGTCTCTGGGCCAAGCTGGAAGAATTGTCTTGGGCCACACATTAAGTATACAAACACTAACGAAAACGGATGAGCAAAAAAAAAAAGGTCCATGCCTAATTTTCATGATATCCGCCACCACAGATAAGCAAGAAAACCCTCACATAATAACCTTAATTGTTCAGTGGCCCCTTCGATAATCTTTTAAAATTGTTGAGCAGGTCTCAAGTTTGTGATCACTAATACAGAAAATGTACCCATCTAAGTAATAAAAGTTAGTGTAAAACTTAGTAATAAAACAAAGTAATGTTTTAAGTTCATTTACGATCTTGTGTTGGGCTGTATTCCTAGCTATCCTGGGCCGCAGGTGGCCCATGGGCCACGGGTGGGATACCCCTGCTCTAGGGGATAATCCTCTTGTACGTTAACCAGTTTCTAGACTCTTTGTTCCCTTGATGGGGACCCCTAAATCCGTGAGAATCAAACTCCCCAAGGAATTTTCAGGAATACTCGCCTGGAGTTTGGATTACTACTGAAATTGTATAGGAACTGGTGTGAGCAAAATCTATATTACTGAGGGGAGGTATAGAGTTACCTAGAAATAATCTTCCCAACTTTCTTATTCCTAAAAGAAGACATCTATTAGATCTCACCAAAACAATACCTTAAAGTGCTTGTGCTTGGGAAAGGAGGCTGTGTGGTGCCAAGTCGAACCACTGTCAACTCTCCCAGGGTCAGAAATATTACAAGTAAACAATTGTTGAATTGGTTGCTTCTCTTGACTACTAGGCAACTCTTCCTAGGTATTGCTGTGCATCCTTTTGCACCCAGAAAGCAGAGCTCATTCATGCAAAGTGAGTCTCTAGATTATGTAATATATTCGTGTGATATGTGTTTGACAATCTCCAGAGATCACGGTTACTTAGTGTGTTTCATTACCCAATACCATCTCTTTCTCCCATTCTTCCCAACTCTGCAATACATCTCCACACTTTCCAGAGCTCAGTAAAATTAAAGTGTGAGATAGCCTGGATGCTTGCAGAGAGCAACAACAAGCAGCAAATCCAGAAAAATAGATGCTCTTTAGTATTGAAAATACTATTGCTAGATTTACATATGAGGAGATCCAGGCACTATACTGAAGAGGTCTCTTTAGATGGATAGCTGAATTTTAGGCACTTGTCACTCCCATGTAAATGACTGACCATCTCAGTTGTCCTTATTTAGAGTTCCCGCCACACAAGAATTTCTCCAAGTGTCCAGGGATTAGAGCTTGCCACAGCTCCTGCCATTCACTACTGTGATAATTATCCCAGCCCAGGTCTTTGCTGTAATTGCTGTCCACATGCTATTGCAGGCTCTAGCTCCTTGGCAATCATCACCCTGCCCACCAATGTCTCCAATCTCATGATGCTGCTAGAGGTGAAACTGCATTGGAACTCAGGCCCTCTACCCTGTATACTGCAGCTTGAATTCCCCACCCTTGGTGTGTGTCCGCAGCTGTGTATCTTGTCCCCAGCCAGACCAAATGTGATACAGACAACTCCACTCTGGAGTCCCATGCAGAAGCGGGTATGCCTTCTCCGACATTTTCCTTGATGTCCATCCTTTCTTTCATCCAGGCCTTTTCCTGAATTCCAGTGCCACTTCCAACATCACCTCTATTCAACTTTTCCTCTCTCACCTAAGTCCACCTCCTATCTCTTGCAGGCTGTGCTGTGAAACAGTCATCTTTTTAAAAATGAGGCATATACATGAGGGTGATTTTCAACTTGCCTTGTAAGAAGGAAGAGTAGGATTCAGCTCCTCAGGGCAGAAAGAAATTGCTTCTGGCAACAGCTGGAGACAATTTTGATTCTCACACTGCAGGGATCTACTGACATCTAGTGGGAGTATGCAAGGATACTGCGTAAACATCTTCAATGAACAGAACTGTTTGCCACAACAGAGTTATCCAGCCCAAATGTCAGTAGTACCAAGGCTGAGAAACTCTGACTGCCATCCATCTCCTGGAAGGGTTATTGAAACGGTGTTTATTCTGAAACTCAAAGAGTAACTACCTGTTACTTAAGTTTCAGTTTCCCAAACAGATTTAGATCAGTTACCACATTTTACTTTTTATTTCCCTTTTTCTCTAGTTGCTGGTTTTTAAATGTTCATAAGAAGAAATTCAAAAGACAATACACTGTTGGTTTGCCCAAGAGCCCACTCAATCCAAAAGTCTGTGAAAAGACAAAACAAAGATTGATAGTAAAATTCCAGCTAGTGATTTCAGCATGTTCAACACCCACTCAACAGTCAGGTCTTTGCTTCAATGTTGAAAATGTGTATTTCTTTAAAATTTTTGTAGATGGCTTTTGTCTTTCTGAATTTGAATTTTTTAAAGCATATAAGTAGAAAACTAGGAGGTTTTCTTTTTTAAAATTTTTACCATTGATTGTTACTTGTTATCCATTTAACCCTTAATAAGCAGAGACCTTCTCTTGTCTTGCGTACAGCTGAGAGAAAGGAAGGGAAAGAAATAGGAACAGGGAAGAAAAAACATGACCCAGACAATGGAGATGGTTTCAAACATTGGGGCTCCATTAAATTTTCCTACATTCTTGGTAAGAAGAAAACTCTAGGTTTATTTTTCTACTGAAACCAGTATCTTTTCTAAAATGTGGTTTCCGACTTAGGAGAAGTATTACAGTGGCCTACAAGCCACCACACACACATTGCCCCTCTGACCTCGTATCTTACAACATTTCCCTGCTGCCTCCACTCAAAGGGCCCCATCTGGGCTGGCCGACTACGCTCCTACCTCCGGGCTTTTATTCTTTCTGTTTCCCTGCCTGACACACACTTCCCCACCCCCACATCCATGTACCTCTCATTTGCTCAACCGCACTTTCTCAGTGAAACTTTCCCTCACCCACATACCAATAGCAGCAAAATACCCTGAACTCCTACACTTTGTATGCTCTTCGGGTGTTTTTTTTGTTTGTTTGTTTGTTTGTTTGTTTTTTGCCATAGAACCATCGGACATATAATGCTCTTTGTTCTTTATCTTCATTTCACACACTAGATGAAGTCTAATTCCGTGCAGGTAGATCCCTTGTCTGTTTTATTTGTTGCCATTATCAACAGTGCCTGAACAATGTGTGGCTCTTAGCAGTTTTTAAATAACACTTACTAAATGAGTGATTGAGGTCAAAGGGCACAGGAAAGGCAAATACTGCACAATCATGAGTGAGGGTGTATAAACCTCTCTACAAAGCTATTCGGCAGTACCTACCAACATTTAAAATACATATACATTTTGAGCCCAAAATTTATCTAAATTTACCCAGTGGAAATAATGGCACAGATGCACATCATTGCAATGTTGTTTACTGAATGAAGACCGGAAGCAGACACTTCAGGATCAGCTTAAGATGCATAAAGCTGCAAAGAGTATCACTACCACTCTTACTACAAAAATAACAGTGAACCATCTCCTCTCACTGCAGTCAAATAATTTTTTTAGAAAGGTTAATTGAGTGGCACGGGAACTCGGGGAAACCAAGGTCCAGAGGCCCAGCAGCAAATCCAACTCCAAACCACCCAGTGGTCTGCAAAGATCTCCTTGTGGGCCCTCAGTACAGCTCCAGAATGGGGGTGGGGACATTCCCACCCATCCCTTCCAGCAAGTTTCCGTTTCCTGGAGCTGGACTCCGCCTAGTCGGGGTCAGATTCTTGTATGAGTTTCCTTTTCCCCGCTCCAGTCCTGCTTTAACAAAGACAAACGCCCAGACACCAGCTAGCTTAGCGGACCCAGTGGGAATCGCAGCCCCGCCCATCAGCCCCACTGCGCACCCGCACGAAGTCTGCAGCTCGCGCCCCGCCTCAGCAGCGCAGCATCCCGGCCGAGGAGAGAGCCCGAGGGGAAAGCAGACCGCCGCCTGCCAGGACGACCCTGGGAGCTCAGCCACCATGAGGTAAGGGCTTTTCCCGCTTTTCCACCCAAACTGTGCGCAGGCCTTTGTTTCAAACCAACGTGCTTCATTTATTCCGTTTCCAACGCGCAGCGCTGCTATGGCCAGTCACCAGGCCAAGCCCCACGTAGCGCATCCAGGCCGCTAGGTTGGGACGGTCCCCGGGAGCCCTGTCCAGGTCCCGGGCTCCTGAAATCGGGCCTATTGGGGAGGGTGTCCGAAGGGACCCTTCCCTGGAGTCCCGATCATCCTAGGCGTCCACAGTCAGGGATTTGGGCTGTGTGTCCAGGCGAGGCGCTCCAGAAGCTTGTTCTCTCCCCGCGGCTGCCGTGGGGTGTCTACGTGGCACAGGTCTCCGGTAGGCCCGTGGCCTTGCTCCGCATCCCAACTCTGCAGCTGCCATTCCCTCATTTTTGGCACACGCAGTTTGGCCGCAGCTCCAGGCAGCATATTTGTCTGCTACTGCCATTTTGCCTTTCTGATTTCTGGGTCTTCTAGTTCTTCTCTTCCGTGAGCTACCTTTGATTCACGTACAGATTTTTATTGTTCCACACAGTCCGCTATTTTATGAGGATTTCTCTGTCTGTCTCCTGTACTAAGTTATGGCGATGGTGCCTTTTTCTCACCCTTTTGCTATCTCCAGGGCTAGCATCCCGCCCTGTACGTGGTTAATGAGCCATTTGCATTTAATAAACTAAGGAGTGAGAGGTTAAGATCTCGAGCTCCTGAGGCAGATAATAAATAACCCTTTGTTCCCTAGTTGGGTGACGCAAAGTCTTTAAAAATCTGTGTATCTGTTTCTTATCTGTAAAAAAAAAATTAATGGCATCCATCTCTTAGGACTGTGGAAAGGGTTAATTGACTGCTTAGAAAATAGTATTTGACAATTATTAGAAGTAATAACAATAATAATAACAATAAGTCCCTAACCTGTAACATTTGTAAGAAGAGAGGGAGGTATCAGGAAGGGCCTGAAGCAACAAGGAAGAAAAGGGGGTGCACCGTGAATGTATACATGTAGGGGGTTGGTGGTAGAGGGGTGGACCCCACTGGGAAGTGTCTCCCAAGAATGATGAAAGAAAGACTGCATCTTCCAGGAAAAATACTGATAGATAAATGTAGCTTCTTTAGATATGATAGCCTGTCTCTGCTGGCTTTCCAAAGTTAAAAAATTAAGTAGACAAAGTTTAAAAAGTAAAACTTATGGCCAGCCAGTGCGCAGAGCACTTCAGTGGCTGACTGAATGCCCCTTTCGGGTCTCACATCCACGTTCATAATACCCCAGGCAGCCCTCTGCATCGTCTCTGGGTTGCGCTGGTAGAAACCCTCCGATCCGAGGCCAATGTTCATTTTACTCTGTGGTGGATCTAGGCAGGCTGATAAGGGCATGGTAAGTCTTACTCAGGATTTTGGTGCAATTACACCAGAAAAAGGACCAAATGCCAAGGCGAATCATGCCTTGTTTCCCAATGAGAACCATAGGAAACAGTTCAAAACCTACTCTCAAAATCCACACATGGAGCCAGACAGAGAGCATGTGCCAAGATAAAAAGACAGGCAGGAGAGGGAAGACTGAAGTGGGGGAAGGTTGTGGAGCCATTAGCAGGAAGGGAAGAAATAGCAGAAATTCCTTCATCTGAAATTCAGGTGCTTTCTGTGCTAAGCCGGCACCTCTGGACTGGACATGCCAGAAGCTACCAGTATGTAACTTCATTCAGACATTCAACAAATATTTATTTATTGAGCTTCTATCATATGCCTGGAATAATAGATGGTAGGGACACCGGTGAAAAAAATCAGAATAAGGTCTGTTCTCATGGGGCTTACATGTAAATGGAGGAAGTAGACAAACAGATGAGTGAGTAAATAGTCAACATAACTCAGAGAGTAGCAAGAGCTGTAAGGAAAATAAAACAGTGTAATCGCCTAAGAAAGGTGTTTAGAATGGAGAAGTCTATTTTAGATAGCTTTGCCTCAGGCAGCTTCTTAAATAGAACATATTTGAGCTGAGTAACAGGAAAGAGGGAGTTGCTCAGAGATTTAGGACCACAACACTCCAAACAGAATAAAAACAATAGGTATAAAAGTCCTTGAATTTGATATGCTCAGGATAGGAGGAAGGTCTATGTTTAAAACGGGTGAATGAGGAGAGAGATTGGAAGGAGAGAAGGTTGGGGACTTGCAGGATGTACCTGGATGAGTATCTAAGGGTGCTGGAAAGCCATTTGGAGGTTTTAAGACATCATCTGATTCACATTTTGAAAACTTTACAAATACTATATGGGGATGAAGAGTGGAAGCAGGGAGACCAGATTCTCACCCCAGTGCAAAGGAAAGGTAATTGTGGATTAGGTGGTAAATAGCGGTGGAAATGGAGAAAAACGGGTGGATTTGAAATGTATATGGGTGGTAGAATTAGCAGGACTTCCCACTGGATTTAGATGAAGGGGCGAGAGAAGAGGAATCAAAGATTACTCAAGTTATTTGACCTGTGGAATTAAGAGAATGCCAAACGAGGTGGGAAAGGCTGAGAGGGGAACAGACTCAAGGGACCCAAATTTCTGTATTGGATATTTTATCTGAGATGCCAGTTGGACTTCTAATTGAATATGCGAACTAAAAAATTAGATAAATCTAGAATTCAGGGAATAGGTTAGAGGCAGAACAGCTATTTTGGAAGGATATTAGCGTATACAATGGAAAGTCTTTAATTGGATTGTGGGGGAAATATTTTAATCCACTTATTTTAATAATGATAACTGTATGTTTGTTAAGTAAGATTCTTATACTTCCTTTGGATCACTTTTAACCTATTATTACCCAGCTCTCTTGTTTGGGAGAATCACTGATTATCCCTAAATAAATCTCTCTGCCAGGGTCCATCTGAAACACTCTGTGGAGCACGTCCTGATGAGAAGTAGCTCCATCTCAAAACACTTCCAACAAAGTAGAGTGTTAATGACTTTTAGGGCTCATATGTGAAGTTGTCTTCTTAATCCGAGGCCTTAAAATATCTGGTATGTTTTTCCTGGTGCTCAGTCACACAGACCTTCCGCCTGCTCTTTAAGCTGCTCTGAAATCCCTGCTGTTGTCTCTTTGGGTCCTCCTGAAACAAAGCATGTTTTACACACAGGCGATATGTTCTGTGTCTTGAAGCCAACTGTTCTTAAAAACAAAAACAATAAAAACCAAGCCTCCAGTTTATATATTAGAGGTAGCATACTATAATGGTTGAAAGGCATAGCTTTTGAATCAACCACTTTGTAACTGTGTAACCTTACACATGTTATTTATTTTCAGATAACATTTATTATTTCTCACAAGTTTTCAGGGTTTTTTTTTTTCACTTTTCACTTTCAACTGTTCAAGTACAGTTGTCTCGGTTTTCCCCTTTCCACTCCCCCCGCCCCACCCATTCCACCTCCCGCCCTCGATTCTGCCCCCCTTTGGTTTGGTCCATGGGTGCTTTATACGTGTTCGTGGATGACCCTTCCCCTTTCCCCCCTGTTATCCCTCCCCGCTCCCCTTGGACATGTTATTTAAACTGTCTGCCAGTCCTCATCCATAAAATTATGAAAATAATAAAAGATTTTTATAAAAATAAAACGTAATTTATGTAAAGTGCTGGCACAGTGCCTGGCGTGTAGCCAACCATCAGTGAATGGTGATCTTGTTATTTACATTTTTTGAGTACTCATATGATTCTAGACAGGATCGAAGATCCGGCACAAATAACACCCCTTTTTTATTACAAAATCTTTTATTATAAAATCATAAGCATATAGTTCTGTAACATAGCAGTATCACACTTAAGCATACCATGTGACATTTTAGGTAACATGTTCAAATTAAAACTGTAAATTATTACACCCGTATTATTACCCTACAACCACACTCAAGCAGCTGTTAACTTCTGCCAGACCTTGTATGATAAATGGTATATTTTTATACTATTGAGTTGAATTGACAGTGAACCCAGGTCATAGGCATGAAGTTGTTTTCAAATATATCCTTGTTTACCATTTAATTTACCTCTTCCCCTTGCAAAAAATAGCAGAATTTTAAATTAGATGAGAACTCTGACCTGATGGGTGCGAGGCCTTTTTATCCATTAAACCCTAAGGCCCAGTGTCTCTTGTCTCATACGGTAGCCACCAGTGATGTGTGACTGTTAAAGTTAATTCAAGTAGATGAACCTAAAACTTTGGTTTCTGCATTGTAGTGGCTGCATTTCAAGCCACCAGTGGCCACACGAGACTAGTGTCTACTGTATTGTACGACACAGATAAGAACATGGCCATCCTGGTGAAGTTTTATTGGTCTAGAGCCTGCAATCACCAAAATGTGGGGCCCATATATGTGGTGTGTGTGTATCTATATACACAAACAGAGAGAGAGAGAATAAATGTGAAAAAATTTAAAACATTGAAATTAACAATAAACTAATTAAAATACTAAGTCAACTATTAGTGTTCACATTTAGTATTTATAAAAACTGGAAAACATTTTGCAGAGTAGTACGTTAGATTATAAATATGAAATGGCTTTATTTTTCTGACAGCTACTAATAGTTATACAATTAACCCAGTTCTCTAATTTTTTGGTCACTTTTGACTACCAGGATAGCCCCTTTCCAATTCCTAAAGACTCAGTCCAATTCAATTTAATTTCTCATTTGATTCAAAGCACTCTCCTCCTTTTCAGCCCCCAGCCAATATTTATATAAGTGCTATGAAGAGCAGAAAAATGTCGTAGGCTAGACTTTCGGATGACTGGCAAGGTAGCGGTGCAGCTTTATCCAAGGTAGGCAGGGGTAGGCCTCTTCAGAGAGCTGAGATTTGAGCCAAAGACCAGAATTACGAGAATGAGTAACCCCTAGAACTCTCTTAGGAAAAGTCCATAGAATAAGGGAATAAAAAGAAGATATAGCTGTGCTGAGGTAGGGACATACTTGGCATAAGAAATAATACACCATAAAGACTTTTTAAAGGCCGGTATGTCTGCAGCGCAGTGTGTGGGAGGAAAGGGTTATAAAATGAGGCTTGAGAAGTAGACACGGGCCGCGTGACGAAGGGCGTAGCCACCATGGTTAGGAGTGGGTCTGGAGATAAAGATTTGAGTATAAACAATAAATAGCTTCACTTCTGCTTTCTAGTCCACTTTTCTTGTAATTATCCCCCCTCACTTCCAGATGCATTATTTTCTCGATCAATACTAGATCATTCCCATTGGTATATGATTAAGTCTTTAAAAATATCATGATTAAATTTTTTTTACAATTCTCCCAGCCTCATCCCAGCAGCAGCTGTATTTCTCTACTCCCTTCGTAGTGAAATTCCTTGTTAATTAAGAGGGGCCTGTATTCCCCATAATCCACTTTGTTACCTCTGATTATTCCCTCACCCAACTCTAGTCACGTTTTCATCCCTACCATTCCAGAAAAACACTTAGCTAGGTCCCCCACAACTTTGCTCCTGCCCAAAAAGTGATCTCTTCTGTTTGAACCTCTTAGAGTCATTTTACATGTTGAATATTCGTTTCTCTTTCTTGAAATAAACCTTTTGTTCCTCAGGCTTTCGTGACACCAGGTTTCTTGAAGTTCCTGCTCCATCACTGATTATTCCTTCCTGCCCTTCCGCTCTGCTTGACAGCTGAGTTTTTGAGCTTCTTCTCGGTCTGTGCTCATTCCTAACGTAATGTCATTCTAGATCTCGTGGTTTCAGAGTTCATCTGATGCCCGTGACAAAGTTTTATGTCCCAAGTTCTAACTTCACCCTTCCTCATCTCCAGAATTTTCCTTATTAGTATCCAGCTTCATACTTGATGTTTTTCACTTGACTGTCTAATAGACATCTCGGAATTAACATTTCCAATAATCCTCTTGATTTATCCACTCAGTCCCTGAAGCCAAGAGCGTAGGCATCATCCTTGCTGCCCTCTTCCCCTCATGGCCTTCGCCACGCCTGGTCCATCAGAAAGACCCGTCAGCTCTGCCTCAAATCTGTGCCCATCCAGTCCTCACTAACCCACTGCTACAACCTGAGTGTGAGCTTGTATCGCCTCTCCTTGGAGTCCTTCAACAGCTCCCTTTGTGTCTCAGGGAGGTCTCCTCTGGCCAGGCTGCCTAAATGTTAACTACCACCCAGACATTCTGCCAGTCAGCCATTTCCTTCTCCTGCTCGATTTTTCTCCTTCACACTTATTACCATCTCACATACTCTGTATTATCATTTTTTGGTCTTTTTATGGGACACCCCATCCCCTGTTAGAAAATGTGAACTTTACAAAATCAAGATTTTTTTCCTGTTTTGTTCACTGCTCTATCCCCAACACTTAGAATAATGCATAGAGCAGGCTCCCGATAAAAACTTATTGAATGAATAGCTTTCTTACTAGTTTCCCGACTTCCTCTCTTGACCCTCTATCATCCATTCTTCAAAGAGCATTCAGAAGGATTTTTTAAAGTCTAAATCAAACATTTTCATTTCCCTACTTAAAAATTTGTCTCCAGTGGTTTCCCATTACAATTAGAGTGAAATTGAAATGATCGGCCCTCCCTACTGCTTCCTCCTCATGTCCTGCTACTCCCCTCTGTGTTCATGCTTTAGCTGCCCTTCCTTCCATTCCCCTGAAGACTCCGGACTTGTTCCCGCATCGGCCTTTGTACTTGCTGAGATACCTCAGCCCAAACCAAGGTTTCTAACCTCAGCATTATTGACAGTTTCTTGGTTGCTGGGGCTGACCTGTCCATTACAGGGTATTTAGCAATGTCTCTGGCCTTGAGCCTATAGATCAGGGATGTCAAACTCATTTTCACTGGGGGTCACATCAGCCTAGCGATTGCCTTCAAAGGGCTGAATATAATTTTAGGACTGTGTAAATGTAACTACTCCTTCACTAGGGGCAAGGAGCTCGGCGCTGCTGCCAGGTAGAAACAAGGTGCCGGGCCAGATAAAACAAGGTAGAGGGCTGGATTCGGCCTGCAGGCCTTGTGTTTGCCACCTGTGCTGTAGATGCTAGTAGCCATTCCTTCTGTGGTGACAATCAAAATTGTCTCCACACGTGACCAAAAGTCCCTTGGGAGGCAAGACCACCTGGCGGAGAAGCACTGGCGTAGACCATTCTGCCCTCAGATCTTTCATGACTGCCTCCTTTCCATTGTTGAGATCTTCCTTAGTTGCCCCCTTTTTACAACGGCTGTTCCTTGACAATCGTAACTAAAGTGCCCCCATCAGCACCAGCAGATAATCCCATTTCTCTCTTTCTTTTTTCCATTTTAACACTTATTACTATCTGGAATTATGTTGTCCTTTGATTCGTGTACATGTTTATTTTCGGCAAATACCTCCCCCAGAATGGAGGTACCATGAAGAAAGGGCCTTTTTCTGTCTTGCTCACTACTATATCCACTACAACTAGAATGCTGCCTCGCACGTATGAGACGAGTTGATCAATAAATGGTCATTCATGGAAATATGACTGTAGTTCCCATAAGCATTTACACAAACACATATTTACACTGTACATACAAGGGGAGGTCCTGTGTGCAGCAGAATAGGAAATGCACACTACACTCTGTTCATCCCATAATACGAGCATTTCCCTGTTAGAAAGAAACCCTAAGTAATTTTTGTACATTTCTTGTGACCTTTAATTATGGCCAATAGTAGCTTTATTTCTTGATTGCTTCACCATCACCATCAGGCAAAGAAACAAATAAAATTAGGCATATTAATGAGGCCTTCGTCAGTTGCACACAGCAGAAACCCAATTCAGAGTGTCTTAAGCAAGAAGAGAGAGAGAGAGATTAATTGCTTTCTAAGTAACTGGAAGCCCATGGGAATTTAGGCAAGACCGAATCTGGGTATTTAGTCGGTATCGTTAGCCATCTGTCTTTTTTCCTGTCTAAGCTCCACTCTCCTCTATGTTAGATTCTTTCCCAGGCAGGCTCTTCCCAAGAGTTTGGAAAGATGGCCACTCTAAGCTTCCATCAGTTTAAAATTTTTCCAAGAGAGATTGTTTCGACAAAGTCCCATTTTAGCAAAATTCTATTTTTCATTCTTCAAATAAATCACCAGGACCGAGAAATGGCTGGAATATCTGTGCCCTCACATAGACCAGAGTGAAGGGGGGACACCTGTCTCAAGTCACATGGACTCAGAGTAGAGTGAGAGGTTGTTCCACAAAGGAAAACCAAAAGAAGGGACCCTCCCTGAGTACCAGCCGCAGACGGCCACGCTGCTAGACTGCAGACCCTTCCTGGACCACTTCCATAGAACTTTATCGGGGTGCTGAGTTGTGATCGACCGTTTACTTTACACTGTGCCTTGCACAAAGGGCGATCAGTGGGTGTTCGAATATTGGAGGAAAGATACGTAGATCATAGGTGTCCGCCTTTATTGTTGCCTTCGACCCTAAGAGATCAGAAGGATGTGCACTCACAGGAAAACCTACTAAGTTTTCTTCTGCGTTTCCCACGCTTTTCTCTGAATCTGTTACTGCCTTTCTCTGTCTCTCACACATACCCTTTCCCCCACCTCCTGGCGCACCGGTTCCTTTCTCTTTCTGGGCCTTTTCTCTGTAGGCCCCCTCCCTCCCTTTCTCTTTCTTTCTTCTTCATAAATGATATATTTGTGTAGTTTCTCTGTCTCCTTCAGTGCACTTCTTTTTCTTATTTCTCACCCTCTCTTTTTCTCTCCCTTTACTGCTCATAACACAGAAATGAAGTGTTTGTAATTATTGATTATGTATATATGTATTGTTCTTAATGTTCAAGGCTAGTAAATCAAGCATTGAAGTTCCCCTCTCTAGAAACAGGTGGGATAGCGACTGCCAAAAGGAAATAGATATCCTGCAGCATGGAAAACGCTGTCCCTCCAGAAATATGCAGTAAATACTGAGAATTCAGTGAAATATTCTAGGGCAGAACTGTACCCGGAGACAACTAGTGTGGAGTTGTAGGAGCCTGTGTTTAACTATAAGATCAAATCAAAGATAAAACTGGTTATTAAGCAAAGAACAGTATTTAATGTTTTAAAATGGGTTGTTTATTCAAACATTAAAAAGGATTTTATCTTTGACAGCGAGATTCCTAAGGACTCCTTGAAGGCCATTCTGTTGGAGTTAGAATGTCACTTCACATGGAATTTACTTAAGGAAGACATTGATCTGTTTGAAGTGGAAGACACAATTGGGCAACAACTTGAATTTCTTACCACAAAATCCAGACTCACTCTTTATAATTTGCTGGCCTATGTGAAACACCTAAAAGGCCAAAATAAAGATGCCCTAGAGTGCTTGGAGCAAGCAGAAGAAATAATCCAGCGGGAACACTCAGACAAAGAAGAAGTACGAAGTCTGGTCACCTGGGGAAATTACGCCTGGGTGTATTATCACATGGACCAGCTTACGGAAGCGCAGAAGTATACAGACAAGGTAGGGGACGTCTGCAAGAAAATGTCCAGTCCTTTTAACTACAAATTGGAGTGTCCTGAGATTGACTGTGAGAAAGGGTGGGCACTTCTGAAGTTTGGGGGAAAGTATTACCAAAAGGCTAAAGCAGCTTTTGAGAAGGCTCTGGAAGTGGAACCAGACAATCCAGAGTTTAACATCGGCTATGCCATTACAGTGTATCGGCTGGATGATTCTGACAGAGAAGGGTCTGTAAAGAGCTTTTCTCTGGGCCCTCTGAGGAAAGCTGTTACGCTGAATCCAGATAACACCTACATTAAGGTTTTCCTGGCACTGAAGCTTCAAGATGTACATGCGGAAGCTGAAGGGGAAAAGTATATTGAAGAAATCCTGGACCAGATATCTTCTGAACCTTATGTCCTCCGTTATGCAGCCAAATTCTACAGGAGAAAAAATTCCTGGGACAAAGCTCTGGAACTTTTGAAAAAGGCCTTGGAGGTGACACCAACCTCTTCTTTCCTGCATCACCAAATGGGACTTTGCTATAGGGCACAAATGATCCAAATCAAGAAGGCCACGCGCAACAGACCCAAAGGAAAAGACAAACTGAAAGTCGATGGGCTGATTGCATCTGCTATATTTCACTTCAAGGCAGCCGTGGAACGAGACTCTATGTTTGCATTCGCCTACACAGACCTGGCCAACATGTACGCTGAGGGAGGCCAGTATAGCAATGCCGAGGACATTTTCCAGAAAGCCCTCCGTCTGGAGAACATAACCGATGATCACAAACATCAGATCCACTACCACTATGGCCGTTTTCAGGAGTTTCACTGTAAATCAGAAAATACTGCCATCCACCATTACTTAGAAGCCTTAAAGGTCAAAGACAGGTCATCCCTACGCACCAAACTGACAAGTGCTCTGAAGAAATTGGCTACCAAGAGACTTAGTCACAATGCTTCAGATGTGCAGAGTTTAAGTGCCCTGGGGTTCGTGTACAAGCTGGAGGGAGAGAAGAGGCAAGCCGCTGAGTACTATGAGCAGGCCCAGAAGATAGATCCAGAAAATGCAGAATTCCTTTCTGCTCTCTGTGAGCTTCGACTTTCCATTTAACTCCATACTCTAGGAAATCAGTTTGAAAGCTCTTCCCTCTATTTTGGGTTCTTACATTTTTGTTTATTATTTCAATCCATTCATTACAGGGTCAATTTTTAGTGAATGGTCATTGTGTACCAGGCATCACGTTAAACACTTTATATACATTATGATGAGTCATTTTCTGTTTTGTACTTTTTTAATTAAAATACCGTAATTCATTAAGAAACAGCAACATTCCAGCTGTTGTAACTTTTAAAAATGGCATGGCCATTATGACTATACCCTTTCTCTCTGCTGTTTATAATAATGTTCTGGTTAAGTTTTGTCCAATTTCCCATATTACTCACTCATGCAATGAGAATAATCCTGCATGAATCTTTGACTCCTTCTGGGTCAGGAACACAATTTCAGGGGTGCAAAATGATATAGCATCCAAAAGATGGAATCTTCTAGCTACAGATCTTCCAACTTTGATGAGGATATTTAACCATTAACCTAAAGAATCTTCTTTGTTGGAAGAACAAAGTTCATGATAAAAAGTTTGTCATCTCTGGTGACTGAAATAAAAAGGAAGACTAGAACATGAGAAAAAAAAAAGATTTCCTCAAATACAGGACTTTAGGGAGCCATGAAAAATCAGCAGCATTATCTCCCAAAATGTTCAGTAAGTAGCTAGAAACAGTTACGAGGAAAAAATGAAGAATGGAAAATCATTAGTCTCAAGTTTCTCTGGTTCTTTCACTGGAAGAATAAACTGAATCAAGATGGAATTTTAATTTTCCCAATTAGAACTACAGTATTTTTTGGTTACAATCATTGAGATAGAAAGCAAACCAATTAAGAAATTGGAAAGATAAGCAAATGTGTAAAGTAAAAGTCCCTAGTCTAGTGATTTAGTTTTGGGTCCGGACTGGATAGAGTTCTCATACCCCTAACTTCTGGCCTTGGTTAACTGTTTTAGAATTCCAGCTCACTTCTGTGCAGCTTTTCCTTCTGTCTGAAGTTTTCAGATTGACATGTTTCCCTATAGATCCTCCAGGAAGAGGTAAGCCCAGCTTTCAGTTTTAATATCCACCTCCCAGGGTCGCTGTTGAAGGGCCTTTAATCCCAAGGGACTTTTTAAATTGGGATGTTGTCCAAAGTGGCTTCTCTAATGTTTTTCTTATGTTTACCACCAGTATTAGTGGAAAAGTGTGCCATGTTATTTCATTCTCTATACCTCCAATGTAGCTCTTAAAACTAATGTGTATTTTCATTTTTGTTGCTATTTTTATTTTTTTACTTCTATTATGGTTTTGATTATTATAAAAGTAGTGAATTATCATTGTAAAATTTCAACCCATGCAGAAGTGTATGAATTTAAAAATAAGTGTACTCTCCTCACCCTATCCCGATTCTACACCCCCGAGGTAAACTGTTACCAATTTGATTTGTACCTTTCCAGATAGCTTTTCTATGCACATTCAAACATACATATATACTGCAATGTAGCTCATGAATTAAATTTTTTTTAATGTTTGTTTTACTTAAGTCCCTGTTTTGTTTATTTTGCTCATTTTATTTGTTTATTCAAGAAGGAAAAACAGGGAGGGGAATGATCTTTACTTAAGTATTTTAGAAATTCAGGACTAGAATATTTTATTTTGCAGAAGTCATTTTCCCTGATTGGGTATAATGTTCTAATCAAGGTTATGTTCCCAAGTAGACATTGACTTGCAGTAAAATACAGTTATGGTATCAAAACGAAGATATAACTATAAGCCTCAATATCTAAATATTAGACTTTGAAATCTATGAAATGATTTAAAAATTTACTAGATATTAAAATAATGAAATATATAAGAAGTCATAACATGCTAAGAAAGTATAAAATGAGTATATGACAACTATAAATACTGAACTAAAAGTAATGTTTATAATAACTTTAAGCTTTGTCCATAATTTTACTTATCTTCCAAAAATTTATAATTATTTAGAAATAATTTCATAGACTCTTGGGTTTAAAAAAGACCTCAGAGTTCACCTGTATCAAATAACCATCAAAACTTGAAGTTTTGAATTATCTTCATAAATGATCATTTTATCTTTAGATAGTCCTTAGTCTTAGAAATGTATTTCCTCCATTTAACCGAAGACTTATGGCCTGAAGTTGATACATTTTAGTCTGTCTTTAGGGACCTCACAGATCTCATCTTTTTTAGACAAACCAAAAATATGCCCAGGGAAGTGGTTGTAGTTGCCCTTCCGGGTCATTTCACCCTTCTGTTAGAGAGCGTGCCTGTTCCCCAGTCCCCAAGGTGATCTTGGAAACTGTTTTGTTGAACAGGAAAACTATGCTACCAGCCCCACAAAAGCTAACAGAAATCCTTTCAACAAGTGAATCAGCTGGCAGGAAAACTGACTGCAGAGTAAAGGAGCTCTTGAACATTTTCTGTCCTCTCTGGGTGCAGACCTAGTCTTAGCAGTTGATCATGCACCATGTGCCAGAGTTTCCAGGGCAATATAAGCAGTCACTGCGCCTTTCTAGATCGAGTCCATAAAGATTATCTCAGTTTAAGAAAAACTGCATAGACCCACGGAACTGTAGAAGCAGGAGAAGCTCGAGAAAATGCCTGCTGCAGCCAACTTTGATTAAAAAGTTGGGACCCAGGTTGGTGATGTGGCTTAAGATTTCACAACTAACTACTTTCTTCCCCTGGTTCAGCATCACTTTTCCCTATTTGACAGTTTATCTGGTCATGATGTGATTGTGCCTACGTGACGCAGCAGACCCAAGAGTAGTTCTTTTACAGAATGTGCTTATTGAGATTAAAGAACGTGGCAGAAATATAAAACGTGGCATGTTCTTTTATAATTGGTAGATTGTAAGAAATGAGAATCCACTGGCCTGGAAACTTAGAGTAGTCTCCTTTGAGTAGTTCAAGGATAGTAATTTGTAACCCTACTGTGGGTGGCCATGAGAAGCACCTCTTAGATCTCCAGCAACAAGGACTATAACTGCCTGAGGGTCCTTCCTGTCTGCTACGTGCTGACATCCATCATTGCATTTGCTCTGAGGCCAGGCCTCCCAGCATGGCAGGAACATGAATTCAGGCCCTGTTGCGGGAGAGGCAGTACTCCTCTCTCTGACTTGGGCTCAAGGATTCCCCACCAAGCTTGCCGTATTTTCCGAACAATGACGCTGTGGTCTAAGATGCTTCCACCTAACTTTTCTTCCTTCTCGCTCTCCTGCATCACAATTTGATGGCTCCCTGAACTTCTCCCTGCCCCCTTCCATTTTCTCTCACAGGTGTTGCCCTAATAAATCTTTTATAATTAACACTATTTTGGTGTCTGCTTTCGGAGGTCCAATTAACTTACCTAGTGAAAGAAATGTAATTAGATGATTCATTGCATGTAGATTAAATAATCTTTACATATTATAAATGCCATTTATTATTTTTCAGCTTTTTAGATCAGTAATTACAGTTAAAGAACAGAACATAAATTCAACTTTGATAATGTTGGAGCTGGAAAAGAAAAGGGAGAAAGAGGCTAAGGAAAGGCTTCAGACCGAAAAACACCTCATCTTACAAAAAGGGAAGTCAAGAGATGTAGTTAAAACTTGGTAAAATAAAGTTTTATGTATTATTAATGAATTCTATTATTTATAAAGTAAAAGTTGAACCATGACAGTAAAAAATGGGAGGAATCGGGATGAGTTCTTTAAATTCAATAATTAATTCTCACTTAGCAGGAAATAATAAAGTCTGCATTAAATAGATGAGGAAAGAGCATCATAAGCGCACCCATATTAGGTTGGGATAGCATCCTCCCCAAAACCCGACCTTTCTTCCTCTTTCCTTCCCCACAGAACAACAGCTAGTTTATATTTAATGGCCTCAGCCTTTTATCACTTAACTTTTAGCTGTAGACCTCCCCAGTCTCCTCTCTCCTGCTTCTCTCCCAGGACCATAATCTCTCATTCCTCTCCCATTCTCTTTGTAGCCAGGGTTCTCTGGATTAGTGAGATGTGATTTCTTCTTATTAGTTTTTTTTTTCCCTCTGTGAACAAGCTATTCCTATGCACCTTATCCTTCCCCAAAACAAAACTCTTACCTTCTCCAGCAGTTTCAGAGGAAAAATTGTTCATTAAGCATTTAGCTGTGCTTCACTTCAAGTGAATTTTAAAAACAGCATCTAATTACTCAGAAAACCCACAGAATTGTGAGCATTCCCATGTCTGCTCTAAAACTAGGGTTCCCCTGTAGGTGGTGAACTAGAATTCCCAACATCTTTCATGGTGGCGTGTAGGCAGAGTAAGCAACAAAATAATGAAGGTGAGATGTGTGTTTCTGGGAGCACACAGGTGCCTCATGGGTAAACTGAAGTACAAGCGTGGATTGCTGGCACTTGGATTGAACACCAAACTCACTGGCCTTTGTCCTTCAAAAAGTGCTATTCCTACATCAGAGGGCAAGAGGCAGAGGATAAAGAAAGAGACAGACACATAAAAGTTCAGAAGGAGTTTTGTAGACCAGTTCCCTCTGTATATGTATGTTTCTCACCACCAGATTGAAGCAGAGCCCTTGGAGGAAATACTAGTTTGGCCACATCTATAGATCCTAGTGATACATGAATAAGCATAGCTAATTCTTACGTAGCATAGATTATATGTACCAGGTGTACTAACTGCATTACATGTAGTAAACATAAAATTCTCACAAAAGTCCTATAGATATGCATTTTTATTCTTTCTTTTTGCATATCAGTAAACTGGGTTTTAGATTAAGGCACACTGTTTATAAGAGGTAGGGAAAGTATTTAAACCCTGGGGTCTGGTGCTAAAACCTAGCATTTAGGCTCTACACAATATTTTCTAAATAGTCTTAAAATTTTGAATGAAGGATGATGAGAGATAGGACCAATCTTTATAGAGCTGTAGGAGAATGCTACAAAGGATCACACGGAGCTCAGACACCCTACAATCCTGGGTCACCCAACACTTTTACATAGAGTCCTAAAACTCCCTGGGAAGAAACACGAAAGGGAGCTAGTTGTCTGCATCAGCTGACCCTTGATGCTGGGATTAAAGCCGCTTTGCAACCCCTGGAGAGAATGGCCTAAGAAATCAGGGGGCTCAATCTAAGGAAGAGGCCTGTCTCCAGAGTTGCATGTCAGAAATCAGGGATTTGGGAATATATTTCTCAAACCTACTTTGGAAGGCTGAGGAACCAGTAAACAATTAAGGACCAGGACAGCCAGTCTGTTTTCTGTAGGGGGAAGGATCCGTCTCCCACGCACGTACCATCCAGAATCCGAACCTTCACCCAGGCTGGAGAGCAGCACCAGAAGGCGAGGAGGGTGCTGAATGTGACGATCAGAGGTAGGCTGAGATCGCCGGCCTCTTCACATCCCCTGGCTTTGCCTTGAGCTTCTAAGTCAGGGACTTTGGAATGTGCCTCTGAGCCCCTAATTGCACTAAATATTAATTTAGTTAAAGAGTAACTTCACCCTTCTTTACATGCTTTCCCTTTTCCCTACCACGTTAACTCCAGCAACCTCATGCTTCAATTGCACCAAAACAACAAAACATCAAACGCAAAGTAAAATTCATAGGTAATGTGTGTATAAAAACCCTTTACTGAGATTTCAGGAGAGAAGAATCTACAACTTAAAACTTATTAGATAATGCTTATTTTTTCTTTTGAAAGAGTGCACATAGAAGGAAAGAGGGAGAGGAGAGAGAAGGAGGAAGGGAAGGAAAGGTAGGAGGGAAGGAAGGAAAGAGAGAGAAAGGGTAAGACCCTTAAACATTTTTTGATGTTCCTGCCTCTTTCCATGATTCTAGGCCTCACCGCTTTTCAAATCTGTACTCTTCTTCTTCTGAAATAAAAAATAGTTCCTCCATTTTCCTTAAACACAGTGATTCAGTTCTAACTCTTATCCTCATACTCAGCCACAGACCCCCCTACACATAACCAAATTCATCAAATTGCTTAGTTCAAAAAAAGGTTTTTTATTTTAACATGGTATACTCTTCTTTGGACAGAATTGTTATAAATAAATAGCATCTCCTCACAATTTCACAGGAATTACACATTTTAAAGTAAATTCGATCACTAAATATGTCATAATTCATGTACAGTATAAGAATGATGTCTTATGCTTCCAAATTGACTCAATATATTCCCCTATATCATTTTGTTTCAACAGTTCTCAAAATTTGAATTCTGACATGTGTTTGAGATTCTTTGTGTTACACTTTAACTGAATCCTTTATCAACTCCAATCAATAAACACATTAATAGGAGGCCAAGAATGTGACCCACAATGGCAATCTGGGTTCCCAAGGAAGAGAGAAGGCTCAAAATTTTTTCCATTAAATTTTACCAATGGTTATTCATAGACAAGTCTACCAAAATCATCATTATACTAATTTTGATATTCCATGTAGGAAAATGACCTGGGTAAGCTACCACACCTTTATTCCCATGTTTTTACTTGCAAGAGGAAGAGGATAAATGTGGGCTGGGTAATGAGCCGGACCAGGGACAAGAAGGGTAGGAGCAAGCAAATTTTACTGTTGTTTGTGAGCCTGGCCCTGTGCAGTGGAACTGTCATTGGAGGCATCACCAGCTGTTGGGAGGTGGTCTCACTAGTTCCAGCAGGTGGCAGTGCTGCACAACATGTCACAGAAAGGGACTGAGGAAACTTTCCTGAAGTTCTGCATCTTTTACCAAGAGAAAACTTGCTCAGTATCACGAATCATCAGAGAAATATAAGTCAAAACCACAGTGAAATGCCACCAGTCTGCATGGCTATAACCAAAAAGTCAACAAGTGTTGGTGAGGATGGAGAGAAAAGGAAACCCTTGTGCACAGTTGGTGGGATTGCAGACTGGTACAGCCGCTGGAATACAGTATGGAGATTCCTCAAAAAACTAAACACAGATATACCATGTGGCCCAGCAATTCCACTTCTGGGTATTTATTCACAGGAAACTTTCAGAAAATATATGCACCCATGTATATTACAACACTATTTACAATAGCCAAGATATGGAAGCAAACTAGGTGTCCATCGATAAATAAATGGATAAAGATGTGATTACACACAATGTAAAATCAATGAAATATTACCTAGCAATAAAAAGGAATGAAACCTTGCCATTTACAACAAGGATGGATCTAGACGGTATTATGCTGAGTGAAATGAGTCAGGCAGAGGAAGGCAAATACCCTGTGGTTTCACTTATATGGGGAATCTTAATAAACAACCCACCAACCAAACGAAATTAAAAAAGCATAGAAACAGAGACCAAAGAGATGGTTACCAGAAGGGAGGAGTTGGGGGGTGGGTGGAAAGGGGAAGAGGAATATAGTGATATTGTGATAAGTTCACACAATGATAGGTGATTACTAGAATTAGTGGGGTGATCCATTGTAAGGTACAAAACTGTCAAATTACTATATTGTACACCTGAAACTAATATAACCAATGTAAGCCCATATACCAACTACACTTAAATAAAAAATAAAGAACAACCATGGCTGATGTGGCTCAGTGCATTGAGTGCTGCTGACCTGTGAACCAAAAAGTCGCCGGTTTGATTCCCAGTCAGGACACATGCCTGAGTTGCGGGCCAGGTCTCCCGTAGGGGGTGTGCAAGAGGCAACTGACCTATCTATCTCTTTGTATCTCCTGCACATTGATGTTTTGCTCCCTCTCTTTCCCCCTCCCTCCCTCCCTCCTCTCTAAAAAGTAAATAAATAAAATCTTAAAAAAAAAAAGGACAAGCACACCAAAAATAGAAAACATATGTGGTCCCTCTTTAGAATTGAGAGGTGAGTATAGAAGTATAACCCCATGTCCTGAAACTTCCTGTTTTCAATTTAGAGAAGCCAAGTGCAACCCCCAAACCCCAGCAATCCCCAAAGGCCCAGACACCCTTTAGGCTCCCCTCACCAGAACATTTGTCATTGTCAACTTGTGTTTGGCTCTGCATTGAACTCAGGCATCAGCTGGAACCTCAGGAAGCCAATAAAGTAGCAGCCCCACCTCCTTTGCCTTCTTCCCAGCTTCTTCCCCTAAAAAGAGTAGAGTCTGATTTCCATACCTGGCCTGGGTTCCTCAGAACTTCCTCAGATTTCTTCAGCACACGACGAATCCTTCCTCTCCTAACCCCCAGAGTATTCACTGCTCTTAGCCTCAGTGGTTAATAATGCTTGGTGTTGCTCTCACCTGCGTTAGTTTCAATGTACCAATTAGGCGGTCAGTTGAGATGGAGGGGGCACTATGTGTATTTTGGATTCCCCACCACGTACAAAATGGTGGCAG